GTGCCCATATGAATCAGCACTCTTGTATCCTTTGGATAAATTTCTAGTAGTGCTATTGCTGGGCCGTAGCGTAGTTCTATTTTTAATTTTTTTTTTTTTTTTTTTTTTTTTTTTTTTTTTTTGAGGAACCTCTACACTGTTTTCCAGAGGGGCTGCACCAGTTTGCATTCCCACCAAAGTGCAAGAGGGTTCCCCTTTCTCCACACCCTTGCCAACATCTGTTGCTTTCTGAGTTGTTAATTTTAGCCACTAGGACCAGTGTGAGGTATCTCAATGTGACTTTGATTTGTATTTCTCTGATGATGCGATGAGCAATGTTGAGCATCTTTTCATGTGTCTGTTCTGCATGCACTTTTCAAACCAGGGTCACTGACAGCTGAAAAAGAAAAAAAATTCCTTTGATATTTTAAAGAAGGTATCGAGATAGTCCTTGTGGGAAAGATCAGAACATTTTCTTAGTCATCTTTACACATATTTTCCAGTTTGGTACTGCTTGTATGTTTTAATTACTCTTGGTGGTGGTGAGTAGGTCAAGCCTCACAATCTTTGAGATTGCTGGGGTGGTGGTGAGGTGGGAGTCTTCTGAGCCACTTTCAGACTGTCCATTCTGGAGAGAACATAAGCAGCAAGGGCAGGCCAAAAAGCAGCTCTGCTTCCCTGGACTTTCCCCAGACCAGCTCCAGTGCCCACGCTCGTAATCTCAACCTGAAAGCAGAATTTCTTGACCCTGGAGGTGGTTGCTGCCAGGAGTTCCTGAACTAAGTGCTTCAGCTTCTGGAGGCTCTGCTGCCTGGTTTCCTACAGCTTCCACCTTGTCCCTCAACTCACTGCCCACTCTATCCCAACCCCCCACCCCCGCCACTCTGCCCCTGAAGTCTCTCCTCCCAAGAACAGTGGCCTCTGCTCTAACAACAGCATTATTGAACCCCTTCTGGGGAAAGGTACACTTAATCTTTAAGACCACTCTGACAGATCTTATGTTGTAAAGATGGGAGATTTGTGGCTCAGAGGAGTTAACTAGCTCAGGCCTAGGTAGTAAGTGGCAGAGCAGAGATATGAACCCTGTACTGAGCCTGCAGTGTCCTGTGGCTCCTGGCTCTCCTTTGGGTCCAGAGCACCATCTGGAATCCCTAGATGTGCCTATGCTGTGGTAGCTGAGCCCCCACGCAGAGTCAAGAAACTCCAGCTACAGGTTCTGCTCAGCCAGGACTGGGGCTGGCCTGGGGAACCCTGCAGAGAAGGCAGGCTACCCCTTGGCCCTCTTTTAGTGCTGTTCCCTCCAGCTCCCCAACACTTTCCTCCTCAAGGGAGCTCAGAGGACCTCAGTGGTCAGTGAAGTCACGCAAAAACTCCATGCTGGGGGTTGATGGTTTCCTAGTTCCCAAGAGGTGCTGGACACTGCCACCCAGGATTACCCAAGGAAAGCTGCCCACACCAAGGCCAGAAGATGAAGTTGACTGACCCTGCACCTCTTTCCCTTCCACATCTCTCTGCCTTTGGCAGCTTCCTTTCTGCCCTCAGGTATGCGTGCCCCAAGGCACTGCATCCTGGGAGACGCAGATAGGGCTGTTTTCTGCTCAGAATCCCTGCTCTCTAGGGCCTAGTCAGCCCACTGCTGCCAGCACACAGGTGGTGGGAGTGTTGATGAGTTGGGAGAAAACCTCATTGGGCACAGCTGCTGGGCAAGCCCTAGGGACCAACCTCTCCGAGTACCAGAGGCAGGCTTGGACTGGGATCCTACCATTGTCACCTCACACCTTCCCATCTATAAAGGGAAATAGATGATCCAGGATTTTGCTTCCTAAAGCATGGCCAGAAAGTTTTGAGGCACATCCTCAGCGAATGAGGGAGTGCAGGCGTTCCAGATCTCCCTAGCTTGGGGGATCGATGAAAGGCTATCAGTATTTTCTCCATGGTCACCAGTCCCTGGGTTCCCTCTGCACACTCATGATAGGCAGGAGACAGCGTAGCAAAGGCCAACTGAAAGCTTGGAAGCACCAGCCTCTCACTAGGGCTAGGCAGTGTTATCAGGGCCCTACCTAGTTCTGTTAAAGGTTGCTGGTATCTTCCAAGATAGGAAGTAAACCAGGCCAAGTGGAGGGCTCCCTGGCTGTAGACAACTACCATACTAGAGAAGCTTCTGGGTAACCAGGTTGCTAAAGAGTTGAAAGCAGTCACTTTCACTTTTGGGGGGTGTTAGGCTAAGAGAAGTGGAAGGAGGGAAACCAAGCAAAAGAGAGGCTTTCTTGGACTTTGAAAACATGACTTTGAGAGTTGCCACTGAGGATGCAATCCTTGGATTAATTCCGATCCCCTTGTTAAAACAGGGTGTAAAGTTTATTTACAATTATCTGTACAGTTTGAGTGACAGCTCGGGACTTCACAGAAACAGAACAAAAGCATTCTTTCTGAAGGGAAGTTGCAGGCAGACTTTCCCTGCACCTGTCAGAAGCAAGACAGACAAACAGACCTATACATCATGAGCCAGGCATATGGACATTGGCCTTTTTGCCTCTTGGAAGGAAGTGAAAAATGTGTTAAACAGCCTTAGGTGCCGCACCCTTCAACACTGAAACCACATGGAGTGGGGGAGGTGTGGAGTAGGGAGCCATGGCAGCAACTCCCCAGCGTAAGAAATACCTCAAGTGAACAGCCAAGAAGCCCAGCTGGGGGTGGGGGTGTGGGGGCTGTGGAAGAGGGGTGTGTGATAAAGCCAACATTTTCTGCCTGGTCAAGATCTTGGTTCAGAGGCCCTGCCTCAGTGGAGATTGGAGACGAATTCTCAGTCCTGATTCCAATCACCAAGGAGACGACTCAGGTGATAAATTGGTTGGCTTCTCTCCTCGCTGTGTTTTGGCATCTCAGAACGAAACTTTTGGCAGCTGTGTGTGGGGAGGTAGTGGCAAAGTGGCTACAGTGTGATGCAGTTTTAATAAAAATTTTATTACACAGCCATAATGTAATCGACACTTCTCCAAATCCAAATGATACTAAATACAGATCTACATGGTGGATCAGAATGACTCCAGCAAATTATACGGATTCTATAATTTCATGTCTTTTAAAACCAGAAAAAAAAAACAGTCCAGGTTTGTCATGATAGGAGAGGTCCCAGCAGCTTCCAGGGCTCTGCCGGAGTCTGGGCAATGTTTAGCAGTCTGTGATTCCACATTTACACAACAGTCTATAAAGGGTTTCGGTCAATGGACTATTCAAGTATATATGATTTTAATGAGTCCATTGCCCACCTTAGCCCAACCGAACTGCGTCACAGCTACCACAGAGCTATGTTACAGTCACAGTTTACCAATTTTACAGTCACAATACTTTTAAAAAACCATCCATTGCTGTTTTTTTAAAATAAAAAAAGTGTAAACTAAGTTAAAGCAACACCGAGGCTCTACTAAACCCAGAAGAGTCACCAAGTTCATTTTGTATGTTTAAATACAACGTAAGTCCATGATTTCCCATCATCCCACTTCCTTACAGAAAAGTAGGGTGATGAAGTACAAAGCAGAGCTTCTAAATTCCTCTCCCTCTTGTGGGACTCAGCAGCTCTCAGCTGTTTCTTTAGCTTAGTTCTTGGTATATATAGTCAGCTGTACTTTGTTCTGAAAAGATTTGTTAAATGCCACTTTTATTTACACTTGGAGCTTTACACCTGAGAATGATTATCAAGCAGTCAGCTTATCTCTTTTCAAACATTTCATAAAGACATACACACTTCTTTGCTGGCCTCACCCTAGCTGCACAACAATATATATGCTTACCATATATATATGTATACACACACACAAAACTGCACATGCTTGTAACATTTGCAACCTAAATCTTTTTGTGTTCGTTCTCTCCACATTCACGTTGAATACTTTCTCTTAAAAAACAAAACATTATTCTTTCCGAAAGAGCAAAACAGAATCACTAGGAAGAGACAAGAACATGGGGTGGGAAAAAGACACTCTATGTTCAGCCGAGAAGCTGTAGGCTGTACCCATGGGTTGAGCAAGACACCTGCACTGCCTTCTCTGCTACCTGGCCGTGGGCTTCCCTCCCACCTGCCAGGACACAGCCTACAGGGCAGGGGGCAAACTGGGGTGTTTTCTCTGAGGTGGGGGAGGGAGGATGGGGGGGAGAGGATGTGGGGGAGGGTATGTTACACAGCTACAGCAGTCAGGCCTGTTTAGTAAGAAGAATCACATTTAATGAGTTTCTTTCTTGCAGTTTCAGATGCTCATGTACAGCTGAAAAAAATCTGAAACAGCTATAGACCCATGACAGACCGATACAAAGAGTACTGCATTTTAAAAAAATGATAAAAAAATCCACGCACTTACAGACACACACAAACACACACGTACGTACGTACACACACACACACACACACACACACACTCTCTCTCTCTCTCAAACATCCCCCCCTCCCTCCCCACAAATGTACACTTTTTGGAAACTAAATTGGATTTGAAAACCTCTCTTCTGCAGAGATGGGAAGAAGAGAAAGATGAGGAGAGAGGGAGGAGGGCTGCAGGTGCCCAGTCCCCACTCCCTCCACAAGTGTCCGGTGCCAAATGTTCAATGGTTGGGTCCAAGGCAGCCCGCGGAGGAGGCCGCCCAGTGCTGCTGCTGTCGCCCCCAGGGGCTACAGCGAGAATCCCAGCTCCACGCTAATACTGAATGTGTGCAGAGTGGCCAATGAACTGTGCTGGTTTTTTTTTAAAAAAAAAAAAAAAAAAAAAAGGCAAACACAAATCTAAAGACATGGATAAAACCCAAGAGAGCCCAGGCCCACACTGGGTGAGAGGCCTGGGGGGTTGGTGGGAGATGGTGCAGACAAGGGAGGTCTATACAGCAAATGGTTTATATTACAGATGACTGGCAGTTTAGAGTCTCTTCCCAGTTCTACTGCTGCTCCAGCCCAAAGAGGGCAAATCAAAGGAAAAGAGGAAAGGTGGGACACTGTGATGGGGCATGCAGGGTCAGAAGCAGCAGGCTGGGTGCGCTCAAATAAGCCCTCGCCGTTTTTTGTAGTCTTCCAAGTTTAGAGATCTCCTTGGAGCCCCATCTTTGGCTGGTGGAGCCTTGGAGGTGATGGCCAAAGCCTTTGACTCTGTGGGAAAGAAGAGCAAATTGGCATCTGAGGCGCCTACGAAGTCTTTTGAGTCTCCTGCTTCACTCCTTCCAGTCGGGTTGACTGTCCCTGCTCCCTCTCAAAACATGCCCACAGCCCCGCTTACTCTGGCCTCTATAAATAATGATGAGCAGACACCTGCACTTCTTCCCTAAAATCAGGTCTCCCCACTGACCGAGAGAGCCATGTTGCCATCTGGTCCTCAGCCATCACCACTCCCCCCACCTGTACCTACCTGAGCTGGGAACTTGTAAATCAATCTTCACATCGAAATCATGTACTTTGAACAAATCTTCTGAGAGGTCACTGGCTGACTTAGAATTCAAATCTTTATCCTTTCCCTGACCCTGCAATGTGAAGAGAAAAACTAACTATAAAAGCATAAATACAAGAGACTTCAAGAAGCAGCGGTCACTAATAGTAAAAAAAAAAAAAAAAAAGCTAAGGCCCTTTTCTGATTCCTTCCCTCAGAGGGAGGACAGGAGAGGCCATTAAGGTGGTTTCTTTTCTGAAGCCTGAAAGAGGAGAGGGAAGGCTCATATCTGTGGTGTGGGGCAGAAAGGGTGGGCTTAAGACAATAAGTTACTTTCTGACCCAAGGTTTCAGGAATTCCTGGGACAGTGTGGACTCCACAGGAAAAGACCTAACTTAGGCAAAAATCTGCTTCTAAATTGGCAGTTTCTCTACTTAACATTCTAGTTTTCTTTTTTT